CCCCCCTCCCTTCATCGCCTCTCTATCCCAATCGTCCAAACCCCCCAAAAAAAAACTGTTCAAAAAAAAAACAAAAAAAAAAAACAATCAAGCCCGTTTGATCCCGACTCCCCCCGTCGCCCATCCCCATTTCGATCCCTCCTCCCTTATCCGGGCTATCCCGACCTCTCCCCCGTCCCTATGGCGACATGCCTCTCCGTCTCGACCGGCGGCTGCTCTCCTCCTCCATCCCCACTCCTCCCTCCTCCCCCTCTGTATCCCGACCCCCGACCTCGTCTCACGTTCTCCATTCCGACCTCGCCGGCCCTCCCTTATCCGGGCTATCCCGACCTCGTCACCCCCATCGCGCACCCCCGTATCATCGCGTCGCGCAGCTAACTCCCCCCCTCGATCCCGACCCTCCCCCTCGCCTATCCCGACCTTGTCGCCCCCATCTCGACTTCGATCCCGAGTCCCTCACTCCACTACGACGATCTCGTCATATCACCCCTTCCGGACCCCGATCTCGTCCTCCCCATCCCGACCTCTTTTCGGGGGCATCGCATCTCCCGACTTAATCCCGACCTGGTCGACTTTCTCCCCCCTTCTCGATTCCGACTTCCCCCTTGCTCATCCCGAATTTATCCCGACCTGGTCGACCTCCTCCCCCCCAAGTCCCCTCGTCCATCCCGACATCGACATGCTCCTCCCAACTTCGATCCCGACTTTTCCCCTCCGCCGTCGGGATAGCGTCGACTTTCGCCCCCCCCTCCCCCCCCTTTCCTCCATCCCGACCCCTGACCATCTCCCCATTCCGATATCGGGCCCCTCCGGGTCGTCGCTTCCGCGCCACGCGGACCATCGTCGTGTGTGTGTGTGTGTGTGTGTGTGTGTGTGTGTGTGTGTGCCTGCGCAAGTAACTGTGTGTGTATTTGTGTGCGTGTGTGTGTCTCGTCGCATTCGTCCCATCCTCCCATTGTCCATCCCGACTTTGATCTCGACTGACCTCCTCCCTTATCCGAGCTATCCCGACCTCGTCACCCATCCCTATGGCGACACGCCTCTACGTCCCTCCTCTACCAATCAATCAATCAATCAATCCCTTTTCCCCTCCCCCCCGTTCCACAATCTCGACCGATCTCTCCCCCCTCCCGACCACCT